GCAAACCTCTTGTTTGTGTGTGTGTGTGTGTATGTATATATATATATATATATATATATCTTATATACATATATATATCTCACATATATATATGCACTTGTCTTCTTCATTAACACACACACACATACACACACACACACACACACACACACACACACACTCTTTTCCCTGAAGTCCTGTGGCAATAAGTGACTACTCCGCATAGTCCCCATTTTCAATCAAAATTCTTAGAAACTCTCCTATATGTACATTCAGCACATAATTTCTTCTTTTTTAATGCTGTTCCTACATTTCCTAATTCATTAGATATTTGCTAATATTTAACAGCCAGATTCTAATAACCAAGTGCAGTTGGCTGTTCTCTTTTATTCTTTCTTCACATTTTTGTGAGATTTCTAATTTGACTTCTTCCAAGACAGAATAGATTCCCAATGTAATATACCTCTACGTTCCATGTAAGGGTTATATTTCATTATTAAATAGTATTTCTCTGTATTATTTTCCAACTCTTTTTATTTATTTCACCTTCATTTTTAATATAAGTGTTTGTAACAAGAATTGTCCTAGCTGGTATAAAGATTATAGGAAAAATTTCTTCCACATAATTCTTAGGTTTATCTATTAAGAGAGAGATCTCTGGAATACCAGTTTCTCAAGTTCATGAATTTCCCTTTGCTGTCCTAGGAAACTTGATGCTTTTCTTTGTATAGTATCTTTAAGTACCTTGCTTCAGGTGTATGAGTTATTCTCACAAATACAAGAGCATTATTCCTGTATTCTGCCACTGTAAGCAAAAGCTGTCACATGGATATTACTCAGTTTCTAATTATTTGCCATTGAGCACCAAATGAAATTTTGTATCTCTTAGGGACTACATTTTACCCCTTCATTTCAGGGAGAAAGAGAGGAGAGAGAGAGAGAGAGAGAGAGAGAGAGAGATTAAAGTCCTAATCCCCAGTACTTGTGAACACGACTATTTAAGAATAGTATTTGCAAAATTAATCAAGTTAAAAAAAAGTCATATTAGAATGGGCCTTAATCTGACTGAAGCCCCTATGAGAAAAGGCAAACTTAGATGTAGCTCATGGAGAATTTCATAGGAAAACAAAGAGACATAGAAACACGGAGGAAAATGGCTATATGAAGACACAGAAAAAGGTTAGCGTACAGTGCCATAGCCAAGGAACGCTAAACACTGACAAATATTGAAAAATAACTAAATCCACACCCGGCAGCTTCAATTGACCTAGGCCCGTATGAGCCCCTTGATTTCAGAATTCTAGCCTCTAAAACATCAAAAATATAAATATCTGTTATCTGGAGCCACTCGATTTGCATTACATTAATATTGCAACCCTAGGAAACTAATACAGTAACTCTGCTGTGGAATATCACTCACATTTGTCTTAACTGAAATTCTCCAAAAGTACTTATAAACATACTGACTTAAAGGCAAGCCAAACATGACCATCCTACTCATATAATTAATATTTTCTTAATTTACTTATTTTCATATTTTCATAGTGCCTTTTGTTACTTAGCAAATATATCATAAAGACTAACATCACGTACTAAATTATTTTTTTTGGTTGCCTCACTAATCCTGGAAGTGAATAAAGACCTACTTTATGTTTCTTTGCGCGGTGAAATCCCCTACCACCACTACACGTCCTATTCGGTGAATGGATAATAAAAATTCAAGCCTACCCTTTGTTCTACAACGGTAACTGAGAGCTCTAAGTCAGTTCCGCTCATCAGTCACTGCACTCCGCAGAATGTCCATTCACCAATACTGCAGAGTAATTCATGCAATTTATCCTGGTATGACAGCATGCTCCCTGTTGTTACTATTAATTTCCTTACCTATAGTTAAATCTCACCAAGTACTTTGTGGTGTATCCTTTTAAAAGTCCTCACCGTAATTAAGAAATATTGAGCCCGATTTGTCTGCTTCTGTATTTCTTAACATTGTCTCATTTTCTATAACAAAAATTTCAATCTCTTTCCTACCTGATATCTACTTACTATCAAATTTAGTATTTACTTACTATCTACTAACCACCTATTATTAAATGTAATATTTTTATAACTACATATTATCAAATTTAATATTTTATATAACTGAGTTCCTCCATTTTTAGGAAATAAAAATCAAGAAATCTCACCATTTATTCATGACTGTCAAGTCTTCCCATTCATCAGTGGATAAACATGACTGTCTCTATCTCAAATATAATTCTTTTGCAGTCTCTGCCTTGAGTTTCATTAGTACCCCCAAAGAGAAAATTTGTACTATTCTTTCCTCTGTAGAGAAAGAAGGGTTTGGTTTTCTGGGAGAGAAATGACAATGGTGGAAGGGAATTGCAGCACAGAGTCTCTTTCTGTCCTCTAATCAATACCACAGAGGTATTTTCTTAGATTTTTCTCTAACTTCTCTTTGAACGGCAAGGGGATGGTTGCTAACCTCTCTATACTTGTGATCCCAAATGACTTCATGTTCATATGCTAGCAAATATGTGTATCTTGTCTTGAGATCTTGAGGGACCTGTTTTAGGCAAGCAGATTCTTAGGTATCTTTCTCCACAGATTCCAGATTACTTAGTTGCTCTGTGTTGTGTATTAGATCTAACACGTCCATGAAAAATTCCATGTGTTTGGAAAATGGGGGACCAAGGGTGTGCTTCAGCAGCAAAATGTGCTTTCAGGAGGTAGGACTTACAAGTGGGTAGGTTACTGGTGACATAACCTGGAAACGTGTGTTCTTTCCCTGGCTCCTCTTTTCTCTCTCTGCTTCGTCTTTCATGTGAACAACTTTTCTTCGTCAAACTACTCTTCCATGCTGTTTCTGCATTAAATCCAGTTGCACATGATCTGAAATCCAAAAACCATGAATCAAACCTTTTCTTTAAGTTGTAGGTGTTAAGTATTTTGTCTTAGGGGAACCTGGCTGATACAGAAACTTGGTAACAAGTCAGGTCCTTGCTGTGAGTGTACTTGAGCATGTTTTATAAGCCTCTTGAAATGATTTGTGGGAGAAGTTTGGTAAGCTTTAGCAATGTAGTCTCGAGAAGCCCTAGTAGGCTATCGGGAGAGCTTGTTGACTGATTTTGGTCAGAGCTCAGAGAATCAGAATGTGGATAGTAAGGCTGGGCTCATAAGAATACAGTTGATACAAGGACTCTACGGGTGTTGGAGTAGACAATGTATGTGTGTGTCGTACTCCAGCAGGAATTTTGTCTACATTTTTCCCATGGACTGAGACTTTGCAGTCCATTGAGATTAAAGGGGGTGGGCTAGTGAACCTGGCAGAAGAATTTCAAAGCAGCCCTAATTTCAGGCAGTGGCAAAAGTACTGCTGGCTACTTTTACTAAGATCTAGAGTGAAAATCCAGAGAAAAAAAGCAGAGCTGAATCATTCTGAGAGTTTACACTTTCATCAGAAAGGAAGTGCCTACAAAGTTTTGACCAGGAGAATATGATTGCTTAAAAGATTAGCATTAAAAAGAAAGCAAGTACTTTGCATCACGGCAATAGGAAAGAAGGCTTGAAGGCATGTATTGAATTGTTCTGACACTGTGCTTTGCAGGATTAAGGAAGTCCAAGTGTTAACTTCTTGAAATATTTTGTTTTGAGAAGAGAACTTTAGGGTAACTTGGTTATTCATGGCAACCTATTTAAGTGCTTCTCAGAGTTCAGCCACGTAGGGTTCAGCCATCTAGGCTCTCAGAGGTGGTTGTAGCCATGATCTAAGAAGGCCAGGCTACCGTATGAGCTAAGGCAAACCTTGGTGTCAATCGTTTTGCAAGTGTTGGGGTCAGGGAAAATACTTAGTTTTTAAAGGAAGATCTGGGGTCCAAGCAATGTGCTCCAAAGAGGCCATGGGTGAAGCTATTAAAGTAAGGTTAAAGGTGGAATGCAGGCACCAGGAAATTAGAGATTCCAGCAATAGGGAACATCTGAAGAAAGCTGCAGGCAGCAAGCAGAAACAGCCCAAGAGAGAGACTATGGGGGTTATAAGTGGCAAATCCATACGAGCACAGCTGCCCAAGGTTTTTGAAGCCCACATCTCCCCACAGCTTTTCGAGCATCATTGGCAAGGATTTATAAGATTTAGTGTCTGCCCTGCTGAGTTTTGACTTTACTTTTTATCTTTTTTTCCTTCTTTGTCTTAAGGAAATATTTACCCTGTGCTATTTTATATTAAATATGTAATATTCTTCTTAATTTTTAAAGAGGGTTCACAGCTAAATTTTTGCCTTCAGTAGTGGAGCAGACTTTGGGATTGGACTTTCCAGCAATGCCGGAATTCTTAAAGCTTTGACAACTTTTAAAGATGCATTAAATTCATTTTGCACAATGAGATGTACACGAGTCTTTAGGGGCTGAGGATAAATATTATGTTGTAGATCTGAAATGTATTCTGGAAGCCTCATTTATTTGGAAAGTGACTGGATCATGGGATGCTGCTAAAAGTCCTGTCAAGAAGGGTGCCTGGCTGGAGGTGGGTCACTGAGCACGTGACGGGCAGGGTGCATTCTCATCTCCGGCTCCATTCTTTTCACTCTCCTTCCTGGGTTCCGTGATGTGAGCAGCTTCCCTCCGCCATTCCCTTCTCCCACACCATTTCTGCCTTGGATTCAGCCAGCCGGAGACTGAAAGCTCCAAAGTATGAATCAAATGAAACCTTTCCACCTTTAAACTGTGATTCTTCAGTGCTTTGTCTAAGTCATGGGAAAGCAGACGAATATATCCTGTAATTTCAAGCTTCAGGAAAAAGAGTCATTTTGCAGTTTGCTCAGAATTTTTATCATCAAAGTATCAGGGACACTCATTCTTCTTTTCCATAAACTTCATTTTTAGAACTCATATAGGGCTGGGGATTTAGTTCAGCAGTTTGGTGGATTGCCTTGGAAGCACAAAGACCAGAGTTCAATCCGCGGTACCAAAAAAAAAAAAAAAAAAAAAAAAAAAAAAAAAAAAAAAAAAAAAAAAAAAAAAAAAAAA